AGAGTATTACTTATTTTTAGTTAATTTTATGTGCAATTTTTTATACATTGGTAGTTTTTTTTTTTTTTTCAATAAATGTTCAGAATAATCGGCCATACATTTTAATTTTAAACTCTAATTGTTGTAATGTTTACTTTTCTTACCTTATTTCTCTAAAATATTTTAATTTTTAGTTTTTATTTGAATAAACTGTTTAAAATTTGCTTTTATGAACTGGATTAGTATTATTCAATTAATCAAAGGTTATTTTTAACCTTTCGCTTAGTGATTTTTATTTTTTTGGATTTTCTTTTATTGTTTTTATGTTGCACTAATTTAGTTTAACATTTGAATAGTATTTTGAAACGATATGGATTTTTTTACGTGATTTTTTTTTTGTTTTCTATTATTTGATTTTTGACTAGTTTTTTATTTGTTTTGCATGGAGATGTGTAAAATCAATTGTTTAGGTGTTTTAAACGTTTGTTTTTTTTTTTTTAAGTTTTGATTTCCGAGTTTAATCATCACAGGTTTCAATCTGGTGTTTTTTTTTTAATTTATTGTTTTTATTCTTGTTATTTTTTCATTTGAATGTATGGATTATTATTTCCTTTATTTAGTCCTTGACCTTTTGTTGGCTTTTTGTTTTGGATAATGGTGCTACTTATATTTTTGCTTTAGATAGTTTTTTGGGGGGTTTTTTTTTTGAATGTGATCATTCTTGAAGTTGGATTTCGAGATTAATTATGTTTTTTTTTTCTAATTGGTTTCATTTTTTAATGAGGGAAGTTGTTTCGAGTTTGCGTATAAGTACTATTTTTTTGATTGGTCATTTTTTTTTTTGATATTTACTGTATTGGATTTCCGTGTTTTTTATTTTGCTTTTTTTTATCGCTTTCTCAAGCTTTTTTTTTCGCTTTTTTACAAAGTTATATTTTTTTAACTTTAGTTCATGTATTTTTATTGAATATGATATGTATGATTTAGTTGTTTGTTACAATAGTTTAATTTAAGAATTTTATTTTGATGAGATAATGGTTATTATAATTTTTTCTTGGCTTCTTAGTATTTTATAGGTATTTTTGTTTCCCAAACAGAAAGCTTTTTAAGCTAATAATTTACCTGCAAAATTATGTGTTTCCTATTCCTAGTAATCTTTATGTGTTTTATTGTTATTATATTCATAATTATTATCCTCATGTCATATTTTTGTGGGTTTTTTTTGTCAAATTTTTTATCAGTACTAGTGCTTATTTTTTTTTTTTGATAATTCATTTAAATTTAATTTAAAGCGGAGGGACAGTCGTATGATTAATCTATTTTTACAGGTTTTGGTAGTTGATTTTTCAAATTGTCTGGAAGTGGTTTTTGGTTGATTTAGTATCAGGGTCGTATGTTTCGTCAATCCGAGTCCACCAATGATATAGCGGTAGTGATAAGTTGTGTTTTGATTCTTTTATAAAATTTTTGAAAATGATTTGGATGGCTGGGAGTTTTGTTTTGTTTGATATTGATAATCGTTGTGTTTTTTTTTTTTGTAGAAATTATACAATTAAAAAATAAACATTAAAAAATTAGAAGTAAAAAAATTTTACCAAAAGAGCTTATCTTTTAAAGCCAAAATTGTTGATAGCATAAGTAATTATTCTAAAATAGCAACAGTTGAATAATACAACAGTACGGCATAAATTATTTAATGATAAAGGTTATGATACTGATAGCTCATAATTATTTTTTGTAAAAATTCTAATTGTTAATCAAGCACTATTTCTGATCGTGAATTATTTCAGTTCTAACATGTAGAACATTACCGGATTCTTATACCGGTGGATAGCCACTTATCATCATTATTATTCTCCCTCTTCTTTTTATTGTCATTATCATTATTATCATTATATGATTAATTATTACCTGGATTTCTTTACACGAGAATTAAGATATTTACTAATAACAATATCTTCCGGAAGAAGATATTTTTCCAGTAGCTAGTTTCAATGCAAAAATATCTTCCATTAACTCGCCATACCTTAAGTTACACTGCCTTGCATTCCACTTATTGCATTCATTGAAGCAATTTTTTATATTGAGAAATATATGAATTAATTTTAATTAATTGAATAATTAGATGAAAGCAGTGAGTGCCATATTGTCCATCTTACGAATGTTTCTATCAACAAAATATGTCGTGTTATCAATTATTTGTATGCCGCTAATCTTCACTCATATCAATAATATCCTATTTGTAATATGATCGATGAGAGTAATAATGATAATTGGGGGATGATAAAGAATGATAATCCATTAAAATGATACATAACAGACAGATAGAGAAACAGAGGAACACTTTCAAGATTAAATCATTATCATTGGACATGTCAGTATGGATCAACAATTCATCAATCGATATGCACGCTGATTATAATCACAAGAATTCTATTTTGTTAATAATGCTATGATCGTAAGTTACTATAATAATTTGTGTTAAGAAATCAAAAAAAAAAAAATGCCTAAACCTCAAAGCTTCACATTTATTCCATTATGCATCGCATTAGGGTGGTTTCCTCCTATTCACTACAACAATAATTTGACGATTGAAATTAATCATTTTATAAAGGTTATAAAATGATAGTACTGCAAAACATGAAGTACAGCTTATAAAACAAGCAATTACAATATTAGTTATTAGCTGCATAAACCGAAATAATCTCGTTATTTATATTTATCGTTCACGTATATCATTCGTACCTTTTTTTTCCTT